TTAGAGGACTACTCTCGTTTAGACTTAACTTCATGTGTTTAGGTAGGGAAAGAAAAACGAGTACCATTCTTAGTAGAATGATAGTATTGGTCTTGAATGAAATTCCTTGCGTTGCGATATGCGAATACAAATCATCAAATATGAAATACAATTAGTTGCACTACAATAGCCAACTTTGTCGATAGTTATAGAATATAGATTGAGAATCTCGGAACAAACAGTGGTACAAAATTATTTTACAGTCACCATGGGCAAAGTTTTTTCAGTACATTTATTAAAGGGGCAGAGGAAGAGGAAGAGGAAGAGGAAGAGGAAGAGGAAGAGGAAGAGGAAGAGGAAGAGGAAGAGGAAGAGGAAGAGGAAGAGGAAGAGGAAGAGGAAGAGGAAGAGGAAGAGGAAGAGGAAGAGGAAGAGGAAGAGGAAGAGGAAGAGGAAGAGGAAGAGGAAGAGGAAGAGGAAGAGGAAGAGGAAGAGGAAGAGGAAGAGGAAGAGGAAGAGGAAGAGGAAGAGGAAGAGGAAGAGGAAGAGGAAGAGGAAGAGGAAGAGGAAGAGGAAGAGGAAGAGGAAGAGGAAGAGGAAGAGGAAGAGGAAGAGGAAGAGGAAGAGGAAGAGGAAGAGGAAGAGGAAGAGGAAGAGGAAGAGGAAGAGGAAGAGGAAGAGGAAGAGGAAGAGGAAGAGGAAGAGGAAGAGGAAGAGGAAGAGGAAGAGGAAGAGGAAGAGGAAGAGGAAGAGGAAGAGGAAGAGGAAGAGGAAGAGGAAGAGGAAGAGGAAGAGGAAGAGGAAGAGGAAGAGGAAGAGGAAGAGGAAGAGGAAGAGGAAGAGGAAGAGGAAGAGGAAGAGGAAGAGGAAGAGGAAGAGGAAGAGGAAGAGGAAGAGGAAGAGGAAGAGGAAGAGGAAGAGGAAGAGGAAGAGGAAGAGGAAGAGGAAGAGGAAGAGGAAGAGGAAGAGGAAGAGGAAGAGGAAGAGGAAGAGGAAGAGGAAGAGGAAGAGGAAGAGGAAGAGGAAGAGGAAGAGGAAGAGGAAGAGGAAGAGGAAGAGGAAGAGGAAGAGGAAGAGGAAGAGGAAGAGGAAGAGGAAGAGGAAGAGGAAGAGGAAGAGGAAGAGGAAGAGGAAGAGGAAGAGGAAGAGGAAGAGGAAGAGGAAGAGGAAGAGGAAGAGGAAGAGGAAGAGGAAGAGGAAGAGGAAGAGGAAGAGGAAGAGGAAGAGGAAGAGGAAGAGGAAGAGGAAGAGGAAGAGGAAGAGGAAGAGGAAGAGGAAGAGGAAGAGGAAGAGGAAGAGGAAGAGGAAGAGGAAGAGGAAGAGGAAGAGGAAGAGGAAGAGGAAGAGGAAGAGGAAGAGGAAGAGGAAGAGGAAGAGGAAGAGGAAGAGGAAGAGGAAGAGGAAGAGGAAGAGGAAGAGGAAGAGGAAGAGGAAGAGGAAGAGGAAGAGGAAGAGGAAGAGGAAGAGGAAGAGGAAGAGGAAGAGGAAGAGGAAGAGGAAGAGGAAGAGGAAGAGGAAGAGGAAGAGGAAGAGGAAGATGGGATCGGAGGAGGAGGGGAGCCGGGAGGAGGGAGGAGGGAAGGAGGGGAGGAGGGGAGGAGGGGAGGAGGGGAGGAGGGGAGGAGGGGAGGAGGGGAGGAGGGGAGGAGGGGAGGAGGGGAGGAGGGGAGGAGGGGAGGAGGGGAGGAGGGGAGGAGGGGAGGAGGGGAGGAGGGGAGGAGGGGAGGAGGGGAGGAGGGGAGGAGGGGAGGAGGGGAGGAGGGGAGGAGGGGAGGAGGGGAGGAGGGAAGGAGGGGAGGAAGATGAGCGTGCTAAATCACTTTACACTCGGTGATTCGATTGTCAATATTTTTCTAAAGGGCCCGACAGTTCAAAGCACACAAATTGCGAGCATTGTAATAACTTCTTTCAAACTTCATGAATCGAGATCAAATCTTTTTCAATGTATTCAGAATCAATATATGCACTTGAATGAATTTATAGGTTTACAACCTACTAAAACGCGCGCGCCCGCCGAGTTGGACTCGTCGACGGTCTTGTTATTCAAAACAAATATTTTACGAGTATCACCCGTACCGTTAAAATGAATCACTTACGGACTTATTAACTTTAATGAATCACTAATGGAACACTTTTGAAAGATAATCCGAATAATAAGATCAAGAATGCTATTGTATTATTTCTCTGTAAAAAGCTCACTAGCCTAATATGAATACCATGAGTAATATTTTTTGTCAAGTTGCCTTGAAAGTGATGTTAAACTAGGGGGTGCACGGTAAAAATAAACTTGCTCGGATTTTCAAAATTTTTGTACCATTGTTTTCTAGAGACTGTGAGAATTTTCACAGTACCAAATTTGTTTTACCTTTTTGGAATGGTCAGTGAGTTTCGCCTAGGTACGTGCCATATTTGATGGTGCGCGGCTTTTGGAGCAAAATGAGATGTAAAAGTCGCGTAATTTGACGAAATTCGTTGATTTTTGTCGTATTATTCTGTCATATCTTTGGTTCCTGAACATAAATCATGCTGAAAATTTGTAAGAACCTTTCAATCATATTTAACTACCGAACCTAAATTAGTTGGGAGATATTTGCTTTGATTAAAAGGTCTAAAAATGACAAAATAGGTATAAATTCGTTGATAACTCAAATTCTGACCATCGAAATTGCTCAAACTAATTTAGGTTCAGTTTACCTGAGGACCCCAGGCTTTAATGTTGGTAAAGATTAGGCGGAATGACAGGCTGAGCGCGGCCCAGTAAAGGTTCAGTAAAACATAAGTTTTTAATAACGTGAGCTGACAAAATTTCAACAAAACTATTAAATGGGAAGTATTATAACTTTTTGATTGTTTCCAAAATAATGTGCTGGCCGAAATACGAGCTAAAAACCATGTTCAATGGTCAGCGCGCGCGTCTTACGGTCGATGGCGCACGGCCTAGTTAAACAACAAACAAGGCCCGTTCAATTTTGGTTGATACACGACAACTTAGTGCAAAATAATTAAGCAAGTTATAAAACTATAACATACGTATTTGACCATTGTTAATGATCTGGCCCGGCGCGCGCTACTTCGTAGCTCGTGCCATTTCGAGAAGAAAGCGGCGCGCGTTACTTCGAAGAAAGTTAGACGAGTAACATCCGTCAACATACTTGGAGGACTTCCAACTTCGCCGCTTCGACGCGCCGCGCGAACTCGCATTCTTGCTTCGTATCGAAGTCGTCTATCGAAGTCGTCTATCGTCGTCTATCGTCGTCTATCGTCGTCTATCGTCGTCTATCGTCGTCTATCGTCGTCTATCGTCGTCTATCGTCGTTTATCGTCGTCTATCGTCGTCTATCGTCGTCTATCGTCGTCTATCGTCGTCTATCGTCGTCTATCGTCGTCTATCGTCGTCTATCGTCGTCTATCGTCGTCTATCGTCGTCTATCGTCGTCTATCGTCGTCTATCGTCGTCTATCGTCGTCTATCGTCGTCTATCGTCGTCTATCGTCGTCTATCGTCGTCTATCTTCGTCTATCGTCGTCTATCGTCGTCTATCGTCGTCTATCGTCGTCTATCGTCGTCTATCGTCGTCTATCGTCGTCTATCGTCGTCTATCGTCGTCTATCGTCGTCTATCGTCGTCTATCGTCGTCTATCGTCGTCTATCGTCGTCTATCGTCGTCTATCGTCGTCTATCGTCGTCTATCGTCGTCTATCGTCGTCTATCGTCGTCTATCGTCGTCTATCGTCGTCTATCGTCGTCTATCGTCGTCTATCGTCGTCTATCGTTGCTCTGCTTCGCAGAGCAACGATCGAGATCTCGACGGATCGACATCGTAGATCAATCAACATACGTATTAAATTAAATTGACATGTGGCTGTGCCATGTGCTTTCGCGGGGGATATGGCACGCACTTTCAGTTTTCACTTTTTGGCTTAAGTAATTTATTGTTACACTTTTTAAAGTGACGCAAGCAGTAAGGATGGTAATCAATATTGCACGCGGCGCGCCGGCGCCACGCGTAATAGTTGATACGGCCAACTAGCATGCCAATTACTTACTTCACGTTAATTGTAGCTAGGCCCGCTGCACACTCGTGCGCGGCTCACAGAGGGGCTGAAACCAGGTTTTCGATCAAACGACAAACGCTGCCATTTGTAGTCAAACTTAGCCAAAAGCAATTAACTTCATAATACAGTTGCTCTCGTCCAATGAAATCGCTGCATTTTTCAAATCATTATGCATAATTGAATTGCATATATTCGTATGCGGCGCTTGGCTTACATAATAAAAAATACAAATTTTTACAAATTTGAATTTTGAAAAAAAGCTGCAACTCTAAACTAACAAATCTATCTCTGAGATCTATGTAGTCTTTCCTGGTACCCTTTCCTTTGGGCCATGCACGTTCGGCTGCTCTCCTCTTTTGACGTAGCAAACTGAGGTCTAAGTCAAGCCAAGGCATGGATTTTATTTTAAGCCACGGCATGGATTTTATTTAATATGTATACAATAAAGTAATTCAAGTGTTGCAATTGGCCGAGCACAATACAGAGGTAACAGAAATTGTCCACTGCTACCAATATTATATAATATGAAATATCAACAATCAGATATATACACATCTACTCCATCATAGGGGCAGGGATGAGGTTATAATATATAAGAGACTTCTGATAGTGGTGTCTCATATTTGCTGTCCAACGTTTTTGATTTAAATCAGAATGAATGGTGTGAATTGCTATATATTTGGTTTATATATTTTTATTTAGAGTCATTGTGACATTATGTGTATATTGTTTGAATAATTGTTTGAAATTACGTATTTGATTGTGATAGCATTCATAGGCATAGATTTGTTGAGAACATGTATTCTGCATGGCTATCTATTCAAGGTAATTGAGGAAAACAGCTCTTCTCGACCAGCTTCAATTATGAATATGTACTCTTTTATCTCTTAGGATTTTAATTTTTATGTCTTAGGCAATGGGAATTTTATGAATGAACTATTTGAAAATCACATTATTTTCGACTATATAGTTTGCAGGGTTAGATAATGCATAATGGTCATGTACATGCAGTACTCACCCAGTACCTTACAAGACATTCTGACTCGACTGGTATAAATTCATTCACTAGTGCTGCTGAGAGCAGCCCCCCCCCCCCCCCCCCCTTGTTTTTTATATTAATAGAATGAATGAATAATGAATCGAAGTGATATCAATTCTGGATACACTATCACATACAACTGTTAGCACCTCTTGTTCACATTATCTTCTTTACATACAAACTAAGGTCATTATTTGGATTGGTTATTATTTACAGCTCTAGCTCAGCAAAAGCTGGATGCTACACCAAAATATAACACTGAGCAAAAAGTTTAATAATTTGTAATTCTGATTCGAAATGGCGTCTCTCTATATAAGCATAAGTTTATAGAAAACCTTTATTTTTACATGCTCATTTCACTTTACTTAACTGTGAAGTAGAAGTAAAGTCAAATTTATGACATCACATCATCACACACGTCTACGAAATATCATCACACTTTGAAGGCCAGTTATATCGTAACCATTTAAAACAAAGATGGCCAGAACAACCATGATTTAGATGAACCATTACTGCCCGTCTAATTGACCATGATCAATTGTTCAACAATTGTATTTTTCGAAATCTCATTGAACAGCCTATCCAATTTAGGATAATTAGCTTAGCTCACAATTTAAGTCCTAATCCAATCTTTTCCAGTTACATGAACACAACATTGCTGTAAGACGTATTTTGGGCTCTCTCATGTCTACTGCTAAAAGAGATTTTCTCATTGATATTGAGAAGAAATATCAGAGGAAATGGGAGGATGAAAAAATCTTTGAATCAAATGCTGAAAAACAGGAGTCAGAGAAATATTTTACATGTATTCCCTACCCATATATGAATGGACGTCTTCATTTAGGGCATTGTTTCACCATCACTAAAGCTGAATATGCATCTAGATATCAACGTTTGAAAGGCAAGAATGTTCTTTTTCCTTTTGCTTATCATTGTACTGGAATGCCTATTAAGGCATGTGCAGACAAACTGACTTATGAAATGGCTACTTTTGGATGTCCTCCTAACTTTCCTGATGAAGACGATGAAGTTCAGGTAGAGGAAACTGTAGACTTTGAGAAAGATCCTACTGCGTACAAAAAGAAAAAGGGTAAATTGGAAATGAAGTTTGGCAACACTAAATATCAGTGGGGTATCATGGAAGGCATGGGAATCCCTGCCAATGAAATTCCAAAGTTTGCAACAACTGATTACTGGCTCTCTTACTTTCCCCCTCATTGTATGCAAGATCTTAAAGACATGGGCTTGTCTGCAGATTGGAGGCGTGGCTTCATCACCACAGAAGTGAATCCTTACTATGACTCATTTGTTAGATGGCACTTTAATACTCTAAAAGAGCGTCAAAAGATCAAATTCGGAAAGAGATATTCAGTTTTCTCTCCAAAAGATAACCAGCCCTGCATGGATCATGACCGTAAAACTGGTGAAGGTGTGGCACCTCAAGAATATACTGGAATTAAGATCAAACTGCTAATACCATTTCCAGCTGCTCTAAGCGGCCTTTTTGGAAAGAAAGTATATTTGGTAGCTGCTACCCTCCGCCCTGAAACCATGTATGGCCAAACAAATTGCTTTGTTAAGGATGATATTGAATATGTTGCATTTGAAGCAAAGAACAATGAAGTTTACATCACAACAATGCGTGCTGCAAGGAATATGGCATGGCAGGAACTTACTCCTGATTATGGTAAAGTTAATGTTTTAATGAAACTGACTGGTAAAGACCTGATGGGTGCTGCAATTAAAGCACCAAGAGCCACATTTGATAAGGTTTATGTTCTCCCTATGATGGGAGTGAAAGCTAACAAAGGAACAGGTGTTGTAACTAGTGTTCCCAGTGATGCTCCAGATGACTATGCCACTTTAATGGACCTCAAAAACAAACAGCCCCTAAGAGAAAAGTATGGTATTGAAGATCACATGGTAGATTTTGATCCAGTTCCTATCATTGATGTCCCTGGTTTTGGAAATCTATCTGCTGTGACTGTTTGTCAAGAACTTAAAGTTAATTCTCAGAACGAGAAAGATAAGCTTCTTTTGGCCAAAGAAAAATGTTACAGAAAAGGCTTTGAAGAGGGTGTTATGCTGGTTGGAAACCATGCTGGAAAGAACGTGAAAGTTGTCAAACCAATCATCAAAGAGGAAATGATTGCTGCTGGTGACGCCTTTAAATACCAAGAGCCTGAAAAAGAGATCATATCGAGATCCGGAGATGTGTGTGTCATTGCTCTTTGTGACCAGTGGTTCTTGGAATATGGCGAGCCTGTCTGGCAGAAGAAGACTGAGGGATGCTTGAAAAATATGGAGTGTTACTTTGATGATACAAGACAGGCATTTGAGAGAACGATTGACTGGTTACACGAGCATGCTTGTTCTAGAAGCTATGGGCTCGGTACCAAGCTGCCCTGGGATGAACAGTGGCTTGTAGAATCTCTATCAGATTCAACTATCTACATGGCTTACTACACTGTTGCTAATCTTCTGCAAGGTGATATTTATGGAGCTAAATCTGGAAGTCTGGACATTAAACCTGAGGATATGACCCATGGGGTGTGGAACTACATCTTCTTCAAAGATAGTCCATTGCCTGAAACAACTATCCCTAGGAGTAAGCTTGATGTTATGCGAAATGAATTCCAGTATTGGTATCCAGTTGACATGAGGTCATCGGGAAAAGACTTGGTCCAAAATCATTTAACATACTTCCTGTATAACCACACCGCTGTGTGGGATAATGAACCTGAGAGGTGGCCTCAGTCAGTTCGAGCTAACGGACATCTTCTGATGGACGGAGAGAAAATGTCTAAATCTCTAGGCAACATTATTTCCCTAAGTGAGGGAGTCCAACTTTACTCCGCTGATGGAATGAGACTGGCTCTGGCAGATGCTGGAGATGTTCTGGAGGATGCAAACTTCAACACTCCCGCAGCTAATGCTGGTATTCTCCGTCTGTATACCCTTATAGACTGGATACAAGAAACTGTTGATGACCTCCACAACCTTCGGTCAGGTCCCACTAATCAGTTCTACGACAAGATCTTCGCTAACGATATAAATGTTGCAGTATCACAAGCTGACAAACATTACTCTAACACCATGTTTAGAGAGGCTATGATCACCGGTTTCTACGAGTTCCTCTCAGCCAGAGATCGTTACAGGGAACTCTCAGCTGCTGGTAAAGGTATGCACAGAGGCCTAATCAAACAGTACATAAAAACACAGATGATCCTGCTAGCACCTGTGTGTCCTCATGTTGCCGACTATGTCTGGAGAGAAGTGCTGAAGGAGGAAGGGTCGGTGGTTAATGCTCGCTGGCCTGAGTACTCTGCCCCTGATGATTCTCTTACTAAGGCTGCTGCTCATCTTATGGAATGTGTCCACGATTTCAGGTTTGTGTGTGTGTGTGTGGTTTGTGAAACGTGATTTATTCGTTGTTAAATGTGACATTTTATTTTATATTTACAGTTCAGTCTGCACTCAGCTCTAATAACATGTAATTAAACTATTTAGTTAGAATTTAATTTATAATTTTACATTACATGTGTCTCAGCTATGTGCAGTATGCGCTAGTTTAACTGAGTTTAACTTCTCTTATTTTCAGACTGAAGCTGATGGCCTACACTAACCCCAACATCAAAAAGAAAGGAAAAGCTGTCATACCAAACGAAACACCCAACCACATGACAATCTTTGTTGCTAAAGACTACCCAAAATGGCAGGAAGTGACACTGAACCACCTGAAGAGTAACTACAATCCATCCGCAGATCTTCCCTTCCCTGAGAACCAAGTTATCTTGCAACAGCTGAAGACCATGGCGGAAGTGAAGCCCATGCTGAAGAAGGTTATGCCGTTTGTTGCGTTTGTTAAGAGCCAGGTTAAAGAGAAAGGTCCGTCTGTTCTTGAAAGTCATCTGTCGTTCATTGAGAGTGAGGTTTTTGAACAAAACAGAGGTTATATCCTGAGATCTCTGGACTTGGACTCGCTGGACATCTGTGAAGCATCATCGTACCATGATCAGAAACTAGTGGGAGATGTTTGTCCTGGGAAACCAATGTGTAAGTTCGAGAAACGAGAGCTGGACCCCGTGGATAAACCCTCAGCTCAAGTAACGTTTGTGAACATTCAACCATGCACACCCTTCTTCAAGCAATCCCTCAACATCTACGACACCGACACCATCGAGGACATCATCGCACGACTGAAGCGAGCTGATAGAAAGTTAAAAGCAAAACAAGTGGAAGTTTACAGATACGTAGACCCAGTGAAGGGTCCGAGACAGCTGCTGGCATTTGATCAGCCCATGATGTGGAACAAGAGGAAACTGTGGAGAAGTTGGAGAAGATAGAGTACTGTCAGAGTAGCGGGTTAAAGTCCGGGCAGAATCTGATAGGGGACACTCTGTGCTATGTTGTGAGCTGATTCTTTAGAATTAGGTTAATTAATTGATTAATTAATTAAGTTAGGGATTTTTAAAATAAGTGGTAGAATGTCTCTTTTTAAATGGTAGTTTTGAGCCGTTTGTTGAGATCAGTTGATTTGATCGATATAACATGGTTGATACTTGATGGATAGTATTTAGGTTTGATTTTTATAGATCATGTAAATCTTTGAAGGTCTCTGTTATTCTAAAGAGATAGTATTAGTATTTATTAAGTTTTCACTTTACATTTTACATTTTCACCTTTTGATAAGGAACATGCAGGTAGTTTGTTCTTATTGTATTTGACTGTGGTACAATTTGACAAGTTTTAGAGTATAAATATACATATATCCTTAAAGATAACTTATTACTTAGTTTTACATCAGTTTATTTAGATGGATTTCATTGATAGTTTATATTTGATAAATGAACTTTCTTCAGTATTTATTAGATGGTATTAACTTCTGGGGATTTCCATGATTCTTTTGTGATAATTACTAATTAGTATATTAGGTTATTTGGTACTCATAATATCTAGCATTGAATAGAGATGTTCACGGAGTTCAGAGTTTTACTAAAATAGATTCTTAGGTTATATATTAAGTTAAATTTGGTTTAATAGTCGCGTAAAACATAAAAAGTTGATAAATCTGTATTCTGTACTCTGTTAAAAGCATGACACTTTAGTTAATCAAAAAGCAGTATATAACTAAGCTAGATACCCGTGCCATAATTTAAGTTTAACTGACGTTAAACACATCACATACCTTTTACACATCCTGTGGAATGCCAACATGCCACATAACATTGCTCAACGTTCTGCAGATCACTGACATTTTTCGTGTAATCTGGTGTTACAACACATGTGACGTGCGCACTGTGCACTGTGCACTGTGCACTGTGCACTGTGCACTAGCAGTAATCAGTATGGACATGTTGCAATTAATTAATATAACTAGATATAAGTAACTAAGTGAAGAAGTAAGCTGTAAGTTGTTTACTCACTTTATTTCCGCCCTAATCTCAGTACTGTTATATTATATTAGTATCACACATACTTGTAATATTACAAATAGCTGAAATGTGTAATAGCTTGTTCACATTGTAACTTTATAATTATAACAATGAACCTGCCTGTCTGTTGGCTGCAGCTACTCACTTAACCTCAATACAATACAACTACCTAACAGAATTCCCAGCATACCTCTCTTCTAACAATATCAAACACTACATATTTTACTACTGCAGTATGATTCATTGTACTAACAATATACTGCACTACTGTTGTAACACTGCAATTAATTAACCAATGATACTCGCTCATTTCCCACACAAGTATATGTTACAATAGTACAACTATACATTGTTACACTACTGTAACACTGCATTGTTACACTACTGTAACAGGGTGTAACACTGCATTGTTACACTTCTGTAACACTGCATTGTTGTACTATTGTAACACTGCATTGTTGTACTGTAACACTGCATTGTTACACTACTGTAACACTGCATTGTATGCATTGTTTACTGTACGTGCTGACTCCTGGAATAGTTGGCATGTTCCGTAATTATATTCTGGATACGTTGGAATTTAGTGGGGAAATTATGGTATTTACGGTGTTTATAAATTAGTTAAATTAAATGAAACAACCTAAGTTACCATCTAGCCTGTATACTATATTATGTTGCATAGTGTTGTAACGATATTAAATGCTATATTTGTTATATTTTACGCAGTACACATTGTACATGATTGTCTGTTCATTAAATCATGATAACAAGCATTGCACGTGCAATGTTCATGACAACATCCATTGCACGTGCAATGTTCATGACAACATCCACTGCACGTGCGCCCTGATAAACAGTATTATATCAGATCTCACTGCTCGGACTAAAGTTCTCTCTCTCTCTCTATATTAAGTTAATAACAGGCAGGAACTGTAGTGATGACAGCTAGAATCTACATTTAAACTGTATATTAGATCATATTACCAGCAAACAGCGAGGGAGAGGTGAGGGAGGATATTGTAGAGTTTAGTATTTTGTTTGTTGTGTTTGTCATACTGGAACCTAGATACCGGTTACTAACCGGTTACTACTGGTTACTATTGGTTACTATTGGTTACTACTGTACTGGTTACTATTGGTTATTGCTGGTTACTACTGTTTACTATTGGTTATTGCTGGTTACTATTGGTTACTACTGGTTACTGCTGGTTACTACTGGTTACTACTTTTTTATTAAATACTTTTCAAATTTTACAGAGTACAGCAATAGATGAATATAAAATAGAACCGTTCAAAATATCGCCCCCATCTGTAAAATATGATGGGCACCCAAACACGGTAAACACATAGTGAACTATGTCCACAGTAACTTGGACCCATTACATCGAATTAATCTAAATCCAAAAATTTATGAAAAACTATTTAATAACAAACAAATCCATGGTGAATAACTGTGGATATAGAGTCAAAATTGGTAATTCAATACGTCAAATTCCAGATACATTAGATACAGGTCTGAAATGGTCATTAATGTGTGAGAAGGTGTGCGGGTGAAGTGTGATATGATGTTGAAAGTATAGGAAGGTAGATAAAAAATTAATAAAACAAAAATAATAATAATATGGGGAGCAAAGAGACTAGGCTAGACTGTTGTTTCACTATCCAATAAACATTTCCATAGATGCTTAGTGACCTCAGCTTTGAAAAGACTAGTAGACACAATCTGTCTTACCTGTAAAGGGAGTCCATTCCACAGTATATGGGTTCTGTAGAAAAATGATTTTGCCAGTGGGCTATTTGAGGTACATGTGGTGTGTGAATTCTGACTTAACTTAGGTAAAATTGATGACACAATAGACAGACTGTCGAGGTGGCAACGTCTTAGTCGAGAAGTGCCCTGATATAAAGAGAGATAGTGAGGCAGCGATACAGGAATTAAATTGTTAAGAACTTTGTAGAAAAAAATAAGATCATTCAAGTCAAACTTTTGAGACAAAGGGAGAATGTCGACAAGCTTGCACTTTTTGACATATTGCTCAGGTGGATAACTGCGGCCCTCTTCAGACAGAATCCATTTAATAGCTCTCTTTTGGAGACTTTCTAATTTATCACTAAGTGATTTATTACAAGGGCGCCAGATTATGGAACAATTTTCGAATTGGCTACGAACCAGGGAGAGGTAAAGTGCCCGGCGACGTTTCTGATCAATGACAATATGGCCATCTCTTCTGACCATACCAAGTTGTTGGCAGGCCTTAGTATAAATTCTGTCGCACTGACTATTCCAACTTAGCTTAGGAGTAACATCGACTCCAAGATCTTTTTCTAACTCTACATACACAAGAGGAGAGCCATCAAGATTATATGCGAATGGAGGAGATAAAGATGGTTTTCCTGAATCAATAAGCACTTTACATTTTGCTGGATGGAATCGCATTTTGTTTCTTAGTGCCCAGTCAGAGAGATAGTCTATATCCATTTGTAAATTAGTATTATCAGAAGATGAATGTATTTTACGCCAGATTTTTGTATCATCGGCATACAAAACAATATCAGTATTATCCGAAAGGCCAGGAGGAATATCATTGATAAACAATACAAAAAGTAAGGGACCAAGAATAGAGCCCTGGGGGACACCAGAATTAACTGAGAGGGTAGATGACATCTCATTACCAATAACCACTCTTTGGTAACGGCCTTGAAGGTAATTGGTAAGAAATTTGAGAAGTGTACCATCAATGTTATATAAGGTCTTTAGCTTATGAAGAAGGATATCATGATTTACAGAATCAAATGCCTTAGCAAAATCAAAATACACAACATGATTGATAATGTTTTCGTTAAGAGACAATGCCAGGCTATCACAAAAGTCAACCATATTGGTTGTGCATGACTTGTGCTCTAGAAAACCATGCTGCCTGGGATCAAGAAGGGTACTTGTCAAAGAAAGCAGTTTACGTTTAACAATGCGCTCAAAAACTTTCATGACTAAACAAGTAAGGGATATTGGTCTATAGTTTTCAACCTCACTTTTCTTACCTTTCTTAAATATTGGGACAACATTTGCAAGTTTCCATTCTTGTGGAATGTAGCCGCTGTTGTAAGATCCACGAAAAATGCATGTTAGAGGGTAAGCTAAACCTACGGAACAATTTTTGAGAATTTTACCGTGTATGCCATCTGGTCCCTGGGCTTTATTTGAATTAATATTTGAAAGAAGCTTACGAACATCCCGATGATCGAAGTCAATATCAAAATCAACATCATTGACATAGGAGATGTCAGTGTCATAAAGTGAAGGATCCGAAAACTGGTTATAAAAGAAAGAATTGAAAAGTTCAGCTTGAGCTTTGGGTTTGAACCGAAGCTGTCCAGAATAACTAACACAATTAGGAATACGGCAGGAGTTAGATTTATACTTAACATGTGACCAAAACTTCTTAGTTATAAGCGCTGGATCATCACTATTGAAAAGATTGTCTCTTATTTTGGCTGATGAAAGCCTCTTAAAATCTTTACGGCTAGTAACAAACTTTAACTCATCAGAAATAGAACCAGAAATTTTAAATTTAGCTCTGAGTCTATCTTTTTTACGGCATGAAGAAAAAAGTTCACTATCGAACCACGGGGGTTGAAACTCTGATTTAATAGTTACTTTAGGAATATGTATATCGACTAAATTCATAATGCAGTCTTTAACTAACTTCCAAGACGAATCAGGATCTAGGCATTCTAGGACTTGCCAATTAATCGAGCATAATTCACGATTAATCATGTCCCAGTTTGCTTTCTTATAATTATAGATTTTACGTTTAGGAGTTTTCTTGCGGGAAAAGGAGCTTTTAATTGAAAAAGTGACAGGAAAATGATCAGATTTGCACACGGAATGAGGAATGGTTACTATTATATTGGTTACTACTGGTTACTACTGGTTACCAAAAAACAGGGTGAGGACGAGCCCACTCTTCGGTTTATATTGCACACAATAACTAGTTCCGTGTTTTTTGTGTACCCGATTCGTTGTTGTAGGGGTTATAACTTAGGCACTGCAACTGGTTACTGTAACCTATAAACTGGTTACTGTAACATTGCTTATGGTTACTGTGACCTTGCTTAGTTGCTTTTGGTTACTGTAACCCCGCTATTGGATGATGTTACTTAGATACTGCTTACTAGTTGGTTATTCAGAAGTTCGTAGTTTCTTGATTTTCAGGTCTCTTGTCTGGGTTTGTTGATTGTGCTATAGGAAGTTCCAGTGATTGAAATGGTATTATGTGTAGTTTACTGAAAAGGTTTAAATTATGACTTGGAAACTGTGACCCACAGGTACTGGTCACTTTAACCCACAAACTGGTCACTGTTACTTATCACTTCGTTACCACAATCCTCTCACTTATCAGCAGTAAATGTTACATTGGTTTCAGTTACCAATTACTACATTGAACTTAAACTGTTCGGTTGTTATTACAGTCATTTCATTTTTGGTAGTCAGTGTGAACATAAGGAAATAAACGACTACCAATTTTCCGGCGATTAAATATTCCTGGAATTTATCTCTTAAGTCTTATGTATCACGTGACGTCGTATCACGTGACACGTACGTTATCATGCCCAAATTATACGGATTTGACCGTGATTTGCTGGCGTGTTCTAGTATACGTAAGCTTACATTCTCTCTTAATGTTACCTAGATACTGGTTACTGGTTACCTAGGTTCTAGATACTGGTTACTGGTTACCTAGGTTCTAGATACTGGTTACTGGTTACCTAGATACTGGTTACCTAGATACTGGTTACCTAGATACTGGTTACCTAGATACTGGTTACCTAGATACTGGTTACCTAGATACTGGTTACCTAGATACTGGTTACCTAGATACTGGTTACCTAGATACTGGTTACCTAGATACTGGTTACTTAGATACTGGTTACTGGTTGCCCAGATACTAGTTACCTAGTTACTGGCTAATGGTTACCTAGATACTCGTTACTGGTTACTTAGATACTCGTTACTGGTTACCTAGATACTGGTTACCTAGTTACTGGCTACTGGTTACCTAGATACTGGTTACCTAGATACTGGCTTTATAGTTACTGGTTTACATGATACTCTCACGAGTTTGCTGCCCTGTCACGGTTATTTGATGGTTGCGTGTAATTTCTGTCATCAGCTTAGCTACTGTGCACTGTATATTTCATAATCTGTCATATGTTGTTATCTATCGAGTTAATTTGAAATAATTATCAGTTAATAATATTCTTAACGACAGCTAAATTGAAATCTGTCAGATGTGAAATTTCTCTGTCAGTGGCCGGTAGAGTTGTTTAAAACATTTACCCGGGTACCAGCCGGTAGATTATGTCTAGTAGTTAACAACAGAATAACAGTTGCTGATAACAGTTAACCAATTAATTAATTAATTAATTAGCAACTAACTTATGAACTACCAGATTTAGGTCTAGCGATGTGAAATATACCCGGGTACCAGCCGGTAGATTATGTCTAGTAGTTAACAACAGAATAACAGTTGCTGATAACAGTTAACCAATTAATTAATTAATTAATTAGCAACTAACTTATGAACTACCAGATTTAGGTCTAGCGATGTGAAATATACCTATACCCGGGTACCAGCCGGTAGATTATGTCTAGTAGTTAACAACAGAATTACAGTTGCTGATAACAGTTAACCAATTAATTAATTAATTAATTAGCAACTAACTTATGAACTACCAGATTTAGGTCTAGCGATGTGAAATATACCCGGGTACCAGCCGGTAGATTATGTCTAGTAGTTAACAACAGAATAACAGTTGCTGATAACAGTTAACCAATTAATTAATTAATTAATTAGCAACTAACTGATGAACTACCAGATTTAGGTCTAGCGATGTGAAATATACCCGGGTACCAGCCGGTAGATTATGTCTAGTAGTTAACAACAGAATAACAGTTGCTGATGGTGGCGCGCAGCACCAGAGAATCTTACCTGTTAGAACAACTGGAGGCGGACAAGCGCTTTCATTCTCTCAGTGATGAGCAGGTAATTAGTAATAAGTAATTAACATGTAATTAGTAATTAGTAGGTGATTGGCAAGTAATTAGAGGATAATTTGTGGCAAAAATTAAAGTACAAGTTAAAAATGTTTTATATTAATGCTTTTCATGCAAACAAGTGAAAACGAATCTTTTATGTCATGTATCCAGGGTTTGGACTGGAATTGCTTAAAGAACTTCCATCGCGTTACATTACATAATTTTCTCAATAAATGTAATAGATTTGTAGTGTTGTAATTAGTTTAAAACTATGTTATATTTACTAGTGTTTGATGTCACTTATCTATATTACTATCTAATATAACTAAGGATATAATTCTCAATGATGAGAAACTGTTTTTTTATATATAAAAAAGTAAAGTTCATTTGACATACTATGACTATTTACAGTTTACATATTATTTACCCTAGTAATAAGTTAAAGTCTCCAATTTTAAGTGGATTAAAACTGGATTTAAGTATCTAACTTAGGCTGGATCCGTTTAAGCTGCTATTATATTAGACAATTAAGCTACTTAAATTTATAGTTTTAAAGCGTACAAACTTGCACTGTACTGTACTTGTTTTCCAGCCAGGAACTCGTAAGTTTATAATATAACTTGCATATTACGTCAAACATACCTCTCAAAAAGGCGCTTCCTTTTTAATGAACTTCCTCGCGAGCTCAATTTAAGTTAGTTTCGTTTATAACTCAGTTACATATACCGTATAATGTATATGTTTATACGTAAAAGACGCCTCTCAAAAAGGCGCTTCCTTTTTAATGAACTTCCTCGCGAGCTCAATTTATATTAAGTTAGATTCGTTTCTTGACATATTTTATTTTGTAGCTCAAAAAAAAGCTTTTAAAAACTTCTTTTTACGTCCGTATATGGTTTAAATCGTAATCGAAAATCAAATCGACCTTAGATATAATATAGCAAGATATTGTGTCATTTATTCGACTTCACTGTCTCTGTTAAGTCTAAGAGCCTTTTTATCGCTCGAAACGTTTAGTTTCTGTTTAGTTTCTGTTTATGGCTGTTTAGTTTCTGTTTATAAACGGTTTTTATGGCTGTTTTAATACTGGATACTATCTTGCGCTTTCTGATCCACACGATTGAGTCCTTCTCCAAGGTTTGTTTCTACCTTTAAACACGAAACCGTGCAAATTTAAAAACTTATGGCAATTTCTGCCATGTTGGCAGTTCTATTATTTTGGCAGTTAACATTATCTCTTCAACACGATTTAACCCTTGATTAACACGATTTAACCCCGCCAACCACGGTACGTGGTCATGCTTTTATAAAAGTAAGCTTCCACTGCCAATATCATAAAGCCATTTCAGTGCCAACAGACCAGAAACCCGTCGAACCGACGTCCGACATTGATGTTTAAATAGTTCTTCTGAAGTTCTGTTTTCTAATCTATGTTTTAATTCATCATAATATCGTCCGTGTTGCAAGTGGCATGTTAATACATAATTGCAGCGAATTTAAGTCGAACCTCGAAAGTCAAGATTGGAAATATAATCGCATCTAACCCTCCTTAATTAAGTATCTAGGAGTCGGGTGACTAAGACTGTGTGATTTGACACAGTCTCAGTGTTTCATTTAAAATTTGCATCTTTGTGCGTATATTTGATATGCATCTTTTCTCGCCCTACTCCTGGAATCCTAATGAACCTTCACTAGTACTGTACACAAGCGAACAAGACATATCTTCTTTAATTGAGGTTAATTGGCTTAACGCCAGATAAAAGTAAACATTTTGCTTTTGAATATGATATTGAAATACCACAACTTTTCTCACGTGTTAGTATGAGTTGTATGAGGCATGAAAATTGAAATTCAGAAGTTTCAGCACAGTTTACCCACCATACTATAAGTTATATCTTGATGCAAGCAAACTACAGTGTCAAGGGGTTCACATCATCGTAAGCAAGTCTGTGTACTGTAATTATTATGCAGTCATATGATCTGGTAACCATCATGTCATAAGTTGTTCACGAACACCGCCTGTTCGCGAACAGGAGTCGGGCTATCTGGATACTGCCCCCCCCCCCCCCCCCCCCCCCCCCAACGTCACGTGCGGTACTAAGTGTATGAGGAATGAAATTCAGAAGTTTCAGCCACCTAACTCAAAACTAGAAAGTCAAGATTTGCAACACGATCTCTGTATAATCCCCGTTAATTAAAGTAAAGGCACTTGGCACAGTCTTTGTTATTAATTTGCAGGTTTTATGTGTATACATTCTTTAGTTTATGCATCTTTTCAGTTTTCTCTCTTTTCAGCCTTCTGAAGGTATTTTGACCAAGTTTGGCCATACAGCCACTGCCCACTCTTGGCTTAGATAAGGCTTACCATTTTGTATCACGGGTGGCTATAATATTTCACTATGGATCCAAATGTTCCTTCGTTAGAGCTGTTCACAGACGGACATTACATATCTTCTCTCGTTCAGGTTGGTATGTTAGTTACACTTGATACACTTGTTACACTTGTTACACGTGTTACAATTGTTACACTTGTTACACTTGTTATACTTGTTACACTTGTTACATGTGTTACAATTGTTACACTTGTTACACTTGTTACACTTGGTATGCAGAGCCAAACTTTAAATGTTTTACTTTTGCATTATAATATGTTAAATATTTTCCTTAATTACTTTGTGTATTGGGTCTATTACACAATACAACTTTTAAAACATCAACAAGTGAAACATGACTGTATTTGAAAGTCCTATTTTGACTATTACAATTAATAATTTAGACCTGTGGTTGAACGGTAATGGAAACTGTGGGGGGGTACCAATGGCATAAATGGCATAATGGAGAATTGGCCAAACAAAATTTCCATTTATGCCATGAAATTTCTATGCCATTTGATGAATTTTATGCCATTTGTCTCCATTCTATGCCATTCGAAATATTAAATTTTAAAACTTTGAACTGAGAATTTAATAACGAATAGTCTGCACCCCACTAGTACTGTCACCTTTATCTCTATTTGTTGTACTGACCCTGGTCATTAGAAACACCCCTAAACAAAAAATTGAAAACTTCTGTAATTTCATTTCTGTTTTAGTTACGCATTTGATTTTTGGTATGCGTATAGAAAATCGATACGGCTTTAAAATGAGATGTTCGGCGACCTCCTAGCTCACTCACTAGACTCAGTAGGAGTGATTTAACTGCGAGGGACAATTGAGGCTAACAAATTAGCCTCACCACTTTCAAAAAAGAACTTTCTCATGTTACGTCCATGATATTCAAGTTGCAAGTATAATCCATATTACCTGGGGACCTCAGGCTATTATGTTCATAAACATAGAGATTATGTTCATAAACATAGAGATTTGGCGGAATGACAGGCTGAGCGCGGCCCAGTAAAATCCATAGTGATTATACTTGATCGAGATCTAAGCTTTAAATATTCGAGGTGAAAATGAAGCTAACCACCTTTTGAGAGGGTGAAATGAGGCTAACAAGTATACTTTTGTGTATATTTTCGAGTTGGTTCGGTATTGTGACTATCTAATATGTCAACAATAAAGATTGATTCATCCTCTTCAAACTCAACATTTCAGAAATCGCCGAGTCTACTTGTAGGAGGCCAAAATGAGGCTAATAAATAATTCGACCGCATTTTAACTTTAATGTACTACTTACTTGATTAGGTCTCCTCAATCATTCGAGTGGCCTGCACCAATGAACTCCCGTTTGTGACGTATCATCTCCCTCCAAAGTTTGCGGTCACTAGCCATCTCGCTCGCTCCTTCTAGGTCTATGTCAGTGTTTCCTGTAAACGCTGCAGCATCTTCCAGCAAACATTTCCTCCAGTTCTTTCTTGGACGGCCCCTAGATCTTCTCCCATGGGCAGGGGTCCAGTTAAGCAGGTACTTAGGAAGCCTAGTGTCTGGCATTCTGGTGACATGGCCAAACCAACGCAGGCGGTTTGCTCCTATGTACGTCTCTACTGGATTTATCTTTGCACCCTCCAGCACTTCAGTGTTTCCAACCCGATCGAGCCATCTTATCCTAAGTATTCTCCTCAAGCAACGCTGATGGAACACCTCAAAGCGATGTAGCTGCTTTTTGGTTGTGTTCCAAACCTCACTACCATATAACAATATTGTCAAAACCGCTGCCTTATAAATCCTGATCTTTGTATAAGACTGGATGTTGCGGTTTTTCCATATATTACTCAGTTGATTGAAGGATCCGGAAGCTTTCTGAATCCTAGCTGACAACTCACGGTCGATAGTACCGTCGCTGGAAATAATTGTACCTAAGTACGTAAAATCACTAACTTGCTGCACTGGCGTGTCTTCAACAGTGATGTTCACTGTGGCTTCTTTCGTGTATGGCCGTTGAGAGGTTGCTTTACCAATGACCATAGCCTCAGTCTTTTTACCATTGATTCTAAGACCTCCCTGGGCACCATACATACACAAAAGGTCAGTTGTTTCTTGAAGACCTTCCTCGCTGTTATCCAGTACAGCCATGTCATCTGCATAATCTGTATCTAACACAGTGATATCATCAACAAGCGGACTGATAGATCTTTGAAGAACCGCTCCGTGGGACACCACTTTGTTGCTTTCTGTTCTCTCAGCAGCCACATTGAGGCAGACATTAAAAAGTGGGGGACCCTGAATGTCTCCTTGGCCACTGCCTGAACTTACTTCAAACCATTCTGATAGTTCACCATTGTGTCTAACAGCACTAACAGTTCCATTAAAGAATGCCTGTATTATTCGAATGTATTTACATGGCAGGCCATAATGACTGAATGCTTTCCAAATATAATTCCTGTCGATGGAATCAAAAGCTGCCTTGAAGTCCACAAAATTTACATACAGGGGGAGATTATATTCAATGCAGTTATGTATAATAGTGCGGAGTGAATAAATCTGATCAATGCATGATCTGTTCTTTCTAAACCCACACTGATTGTCTCGTAGCAAACTTTCTAAACCGTCACTCATGCGTTGTAATATG